CCTTCCTTTAGCTTCCCCTAAGCCCATCTCTGTGCTTGTGCACACTCAAATCCCCACGTTACTTCACAGTAGCTTTAAATTTTAAAGGTATTGCATGTATATGCATGTGCTTAATTTTACTGTAGAGTTCTTAATTCAGCCTCTTACAGTATCAAGAAATCTATCCCTTGATAGAATTAAGCACAGTTTAGAGATGAGCAAATCTGTATCTTGAGACTCATGATTTGAAACGTGCTCCGCAATTAACTGGGATAGGAGGAAAAATAGTTTGACAAACAGTAACGTGTGTTTTTTTTGTACTAGTCAGTGTTTCTCCCTATCACAAAAGCAAGTGGGTTGTTTTTTCAGTTGTATTCTAATGTTTAGATTGTTTACATGTATGTCAGGTTGGGGGAAGAAGGACTGTGAAAATGATAATATGTAAAGTGAGGTTTCACAAAGAATACATTTTCCTAAACCAGCTTCATTTATTTTCTTAAACAAAAAGATTCTATTTAGTGCTTCTGAAGTCTTGTTTCTTAAAGCCTTAAATGTTGTGTTTAAGGCTGGATTAGGAGGTGAAAGCGTTTTCTCCCAGTCATTTGCTGTATTGGTGCTAGACCCCATCAAGTGTTCATGGGTATAAAAGGAGTTTGGTTTTTCTTTGTGAAACATCACTGTGTGATAAAGTATCTGTGTATTTAGCATCCTTGTTTTTCTTTATGCTAAAGTGGATTCAGCTGTGTTGGGGCAGAAGAGACGGGACCAGCTGCTGGCCACATTTCCTGCTTTATTTTAAAAGGTAGTATAAGAAATGAGAATAAAGAGGTAACAGGGCTTTTGCTGTCTTTGGTTAAACAAAAACAAACAAGGTTGAATGTTGGGATCATTTACTGCCATCCAAGATGTTTTCTATAAAAGCCAATATTCTGTCAAACAGGTTTTACTCCACTGTGTGCAGAATTCCATCTGGTCAGGGTGTACTGCCAGCACAGAAGAGACTTAGTGGGATACATGTTCCCTTATACCTCTGTGGTGGCATCAGTGGGACTGTGCAGTCAGTCCTGAATTGTGTAACCTTGTTGTAATGGATGGGTTACACCAGTGCCACAAGAATCAGAGTTACCCACTGAGACCTGAACTGACTGATAGGCAGAAGGGAAATAACGGAGCAAGATTCAGCCTGGGCTCAGTCTGCCAAGCTCAGGCTTCAGGAACATGCTTGGTTCTGAACTTTTAACATGATTGATGAAAAGAGAAATGCTCATGTAGCAAGTATGGGATGTTCCAGTGGCATCTTTACAGTTACTTCAGCCTAGAAGTGGGGTTTAAGTTAACTGAAATATGCATTCTTTCTTTCTGCATCGCTGCTAAGCGGTAGGGGTCAGGGCTGTAGTTCTGGTCTCTGTTGTGAACCTGCACATGGCTCACAGACACTACACGTGTGCTGTGTCTGAGAGTAGCTGATGATCTGACGTGCAAAATGGTGTATACTGGTACAAGAGCAAGGGCAAGTCCCCAGGAAGTAAGTGGCTGCAGGCATTTCTAGTGCCTACTGAATCATATTTAAACCAAATAGAGGGGAGGAAGTTATTTGAAACTCTAACCGACTGTACTATCTGTATGGTGTGTTATTAATGTAGCTTTTTGAAGTGGAAGCCTTGAAATGACATAACTTAATACTTGAAAAATATATTGTAAATGTTTCTTTGTAATTATGTGCCATCCAGATAAGAATACAAGCTCATAATAAAACCAGACTTGTTCATCTTTCAATGTATGGGCTCAAATGTGTTTTTCATCTTTTTCTTCTCATCAATGACTTGCTTTAATCGAGTGGTTCATTACACACAATGAGAGAACAGGAAGGGGAAAGTGCTGTTGCTGCTGTCTGTGTGGGTTGTCAGTTGGAAAACAAGATAAAGTGGATGTGGGTATGCAGGAGAAACTGATGAGTTCTTACTCATCTGTCAAATTAATGTTGTGGTGAGGATGAAACAAAGGTGTATTATTCCTTGAACCGAAGAGCTGTGCTTCATGGAATCACCACTCCTTGGGTATTACAGTTGTTTTTCTTAGTATTTTATTTATGTGGGTATGTTTGATCAATAAACCATGGAGGAGTTTACTGAAAGCCACAGTTACATAAAAGCTTCTGTGGTCTATTGAATCTTCCTCCTCTGTCCCATTTTTAGGTTCAGAAGTTTGATGGCTGGTTAATAATACGCTGTTAAATCAGAATCCTTCATCAAATTATTTCCACGTTGAACACTGGAGTGAGCGTAGCAAAAGGTTTGAGGGTGCTGAAAGGACAGAACATGTTCAAGCTCCAGAATGAGCTATGTGCTGTGCTCTGTGATTTCTGCTCATCTTTAGCACTTTGTAGAGCACAGCTTAAAATAACCTGTTGACTTTTGGGCACTCAAGTAGTTTTTAGTGTGTGTTCACTGTTCTAGTGACAGTGGTCTGCAGCTTGATAAAAAGGAACAATTCACGAAAAACATGACTTAAAACCTTAAAAGCTCTCATAACGTGTGCTCTGGCTTTTGGCTTCCAGTTGTAGAAAGTACCTTGTTGAGAGCTGAAATGTGTGTGTGTGTTAAACTGTATGTAGCACAGCACTAAGTGCCACCACCAGTTAAGTTGCACAGCTACTGTCCTCTTCTGGTGTTCCTTCACCCCACAGTTGCTTGAAGGCTCTAGTGTTTAAACAGGAAACAATTTCATACTCAGTTTGCTGTTAGTCCTCTACAGTTGATCCCAATGCTGTGACTCGTGGTAGCAATCTAAATTAACTTCTCTCTCTTTCCTCTGAAGAGCTTAGCAGCATCTGGGAGGAAAAAGCAAATCCATGTTCCTGTGATCACTGCCTGCCTGGAGAGATGGTGTCAAAGGAAACGCAGGGAACCACGTTCCGACACTTGGCATCACTTGGTACTTCCAGAGTCTCAGGTTTCTCATGCCTCTTGTCAAAATTGTAATCATAGAATGGACTGAGGTGGAAGGGACCTTAAAGCTCCTCTAGTTCCAACCCCTGCCAGTTTCAGTCTTTCACTTAATTTTGAGAACCTCCAATTCAATGAGGAGCACAAGGGATACAAGTGAAAAAGTTTCCTTCTCTAAACACAAGGCTAAGGAGTGCACAGCTCACCCCTGACATCACCAATGCCAAACACTTGAAATACAGGTCTGCAATGTGTGCATTCATCAGTTACACTGGAAACAATTATCAGGCTTTGCAACTTCCTAAAAACACTGAGGAATGGGATCTTTCTTTTTTCTTGTGTCTTCACTTTTCATCCTAAGAAATTAATATCTAAGAAGTGTAGTTTGTCCAAGTCAGACCATTAAATATCAGAACATGCATTTTGATTATGGAGATTAACTATCACTTGAATCGATACCAAAGTGAAAGTAGCACATGGAACTGAAGATGGTTTTGAACATCATACTCTAAAAAGCACGTGGATGAGTTTGCAATGTCTGAACTACATGTTGTTAAACACTTGCAATAATCACCAACCCATTCATTTTCATTCTTAAAGGTAGTACTGCAAAGTAAAAGCTTGATTTTACGTTTTTACTATCACATATAAGTGGTTCAAGTCTGATACTGTAATTCACTACCTTGTAAACCAGTTGCTCTGTGAGGATCTCTAAGAGGGGTGGCTGAGGTGAGGCCAAGATCTCTGTTTAGATGCAGACCAGTATTGGAACACTGCACAACACAGTGAGACTTTGAACCGGGGAAAGATACACTAACTTCAGATCACAACCACGGTGGAGGCCGTGTGCCTTTGCTGCTACCCTGTGCAAACTGGGCCGCTACTCCTGGTTGTAGAGAAACAATGCCCGATTCTCCTGCTGGAACAACAGATTTGTTAGGAAAGAGTAGATAAACTTCAGTACTTCTCAGCAGTGCTGAAATTTTAAACCAATTCAATTAAAGGTCTCAACACTGAATTCTTAATTCTTATTAATAAATATTTCCATGTGCTGCTCAGGAGATCCTGGAACTTTACTGAAGCCCATGTGGTTGTTGAGCAGTAATCATACAGGTTTTATGGTTCAGACCACCACTGCTTCTGCTGAAAAATTCCTAATTTACTTCTCACACTACAGAATACACTAAAGATTCCTCATGCAGGAGGAAAATCAGCCACTTAAACTGCTCTGGAACCAGCAGTTGCCAGCGTGACGACAAACCTGATTCATGAGTTACATTGAACTACCAGCTTAAAATGAGAGGTAGCCAAGGTATTGCAAAGACAGCACCAGCCCTCTGAGGCAATCTCAATACAATTCCCTGCTTTGGGAAAACGGTAATTCCAAGGCAAACTGGTTACAAGGACAAAGCATGTTCTGACCAAGCTTTTTTTGGTCGCCTGATAGAGATGCTGAGAAGCCTGACACAGGTATCACGCCTGAGTACTGTGACAGCAGTTCCCTACAGTGTGACCCGTGCCACCTTGGTGGGGTGATCGTGTGAGGGGAAGTCTGTGCTAGCAGAATGGAGGAAAGGTTGGGGAGAAAAATACATGATGAGGAATCACAGAACCAGAGAATGGTTTGGGTTGGAAGGACCTTAAAGCTCTGCCTAAGAGCTCATCTCAGTCTCCCCTCTGTCACTTTAAAGCCATTCCCCTTGTCCTGTCCCTACAGGCCCTTGTAAAAAGTCCCCTTTCAGATGGACCTTGCCTTGACCCCCCTGCTTTTTTATAATGACTGTGGTTTGCATTATGACGTAAAACCCCCTTTTGCAATAATACTTGTTTATACAGCTGCTAAAAGATGTAACACCACCTTAGAGCCAAACATCAGGCAGGCAATATAAATACTTTTTTCCCCATTTCCAAAGAAAACCACCTGTCCTTACAAAGCTGTTACTCAGGTGTACAATCCAAGCTGGACATAATGGAAAACTTATCTTGCATTTAAGTTCCCAACCAAGAAGAAGGTCAGGGCAGAGTCTTACCTTTGGTTTTCTATTTAAAAAATACAGGAAGCAACAACTTCTTCCTTTGTTTATTATGATTACTTATCCAAGGCAACTGAAAAGCTGCTTAACTTCATCCTTGTAACTCTTCAGGATCCCTGCTAGAGTTCATCTGCTGTAGTATTTTGATATATATTCCATGATGTTTAGTGGCAAGAAACAATCCAGTTAGAACCTGTACAAGTACACCCAAGCTCATCTTTCTGAAGACAGGCTGAGAGATGCTGAGCCAGAAGCGTAATAGATTTTCTTTCCCTGGCAAGGGCGATGAAGAATACCTAAACAGCCAAAACAGGGGGAGAAACTCCATTTTCATCTTTTTTCCATCTCAAGTGTCAAGATTTAACATTAAAGTCATTAAAAAAATCTAGAGGTTAATTAACTAATTCCTAAGTTAAATTCACCTGATGGTACTGAGCTCTCTGGATAAAGGCTAAAACCCACCCTGAAACAAACCAGCATCTCACCATCACCTTGCTAGGCTCTGACCCAGTCTGGAGTTACTCCTGCAGGAGGGAGCTGGGCTTTACCCAGGATCTGTGAAGCCTCATGGCCATCCAGAAAGGCTCATCACGATGGCAGCCAGTTTTGCAAGCACATCATGGGTCACTTGTAAGGTTCCAGCTAAACATGAGTGTTTGGCAGCCTCTCAGTCTGCAGATCTTGTTTCACTTTGGAGGCTTGGTGAGCTCTCAATGAACTTTGCCTTGTAATTAGATGACCTTAATGTAAATCCCCTCCTGCGCACTAATAGCCTACAAGAAGGTAAGTGTACACAGACTAAACATCCACAGATTTTAAACTGAGAACCAAAGCTATGACCAACAAACACATTTCACTCACGTACCTGGCTGCAAGGCTTCCGTTCAAGGGGATGGCCAGGAAAACAGGGTAGAGACCACCCACAACAGCCCCGACCAGTCCTCCTCTGACCACAGCACAGACCTCACAGTTCAGGTCACCTGCACGACAAACAGTATTTCACTGTCAATATCCACATGGCTCCACCACACAGGATCACAGAAAGGTTTGTGTTGGAAGGGACCTTAAAGCTCATCCAGACCCAACCCCCTGCCACGGGCAGGGACACCTTCCACTAGAGCAGGTTGCTCCAAGCCCCTGTGTCCAAGCTGGCCTTGAACACTGCCAGGGATGGGGCAGCCACAGCTTCTCTGGGCACCCTGTGCCAGCGCCTCAGCACCCTCACAGGGAAGAACTTCCTTATATCCAACCTGAACCTACATCAATTTCTATGCTGCATGCAACACTATGGACATGGGCGCTGGACAGGAGCAGCCAAGCTGTACAGGTACACAAGACATTTTGAAAGGAGGACTCTTCCTTTTGTAACAAAATCACTTTCATTCCAACCCATAAAGAATTTATCACTCTAAAGTTGACCTTCAAATGAAATCATACAGATGGGGGAAACTGAACTGCTGTGTTGCAGTCCCTTTCACACCACTTTGAGTGAAAAATGCTAAAAATAAGTGATGTGTAACAGAATTTAATAAACATACATAAACAAACATGTGTATCTCATTTCCCACTCCACTTGAAGAGCTCACTGCTGCCCAATGCATTAGATAATCTGTTATTCAAACCCTGGTTTACAAACGGAGGCACTTCAGGACCACAGCAGTTCAAGACCTCTGTTCTGCTCCTGTGGTGTTACATTGCATACAGAAAGCAAGGAATAATAATGAGGTTTTTTACCTGCAAATAAAGGCTCACGCACAAAAACTTCATAAACTGCTACTGTTGAAATAAATGGAAGCACGGCCATTGGCAGAGCAGACACAATGGCAGCTCTTCGGATGTGTAGGATGTTCCTGAAGAAGTTATTTCCTGCCAAGCCACATAAGCTTGCGTTTGCTCCTAGGAAGTATGATCCATGATTACAAAGGTTCCTGTGAAAGAAGGGAAGTTGCTTCAGCAATGAAGAACTGTAAAGAAGTTTGGTTTACTCGGTGATACAATTCACCTCTGAGTATCCTACAGCATGAGGTAAGAGATGTAAATCTCTCACTGGTGCAAAATGCAGAGTAGCTGCTTTCAAAAGCAATCAGGAGAGCATCCTTCACCATATGCCTGGGTTTCCACACACCTCAAGAATGAAGTGACAGAAAGGCTGAGAAGCCTTTTCTACAGGTTTTCCTATGGCTAATGGAAACTTCATGAAATTTGCTCTCCCGATCACCAGGTTTCATCAGCATTGAAGCATAAAGAGAACGTGTTTTGAAAAGCAATTAAGAAAATAGATATATTTCTTATAAGCCTTGTTTGCAGCCTGCTTACCCACAAGTAGAGATTTAGCTTGAACAGAAGAGCTTAGAGAACAGGCCAGTGGACAACTGTGGCCACCGAGATCTTGCAGTAATGATCTCGGCAGCTCCTGGGGGATTCCTGATAGGGATGCTGCAGGCTGATGGGCTGCAAGCCTCCCTCACATGCATGGAACACCTGAATTGAAGGTCTTACCTTGCCAGGAGGTTACACTAGTTAAAGGCTATGGAAGTCCAACATACTGGTTTACAGCCCTGGAGCTTCTCTTTTCCCTCAATAACAGAGGGACCAGGTTCTGTTATCTGCTGTATTTTTAACATACAGTTTAAAGCAGCCACTCCTGTTGCTACCTCTAATAAGGTAAAGGCAGAATAGGACAAAGTCTGCTCAGATAAAGTCAGCATTTAATGTCTTGACAAACAGTTCCCATTGGAGTACATTCCATCACAGCGGGAGCGAGGGAATGGGAACACGTGCCTGTTTCAGAAGCCTGATGAGCACTTTGTGATTGATTTCATTTGACTTGCAGAAGGAAGCCATGTGTTATCTTTAGATTATACCTGGTACAGTCAGTTATTAGTGGGAACAACTCTTTGCTTTAGGTTTGCACAAGTCTAAAATTCCTGGAATGAGCAGCATTGCCAGGCAAAGCAGTGAACTGGAAGGTTGTGCCCATATTGTGTTAACGTGTGTTTTAAAGATGTTTTGTAAGTTGGACTTAGCACTAAACCCCCCCAAAACCTAAAATGCTTACCCAGTCACACAATTCACATGAGGCCAAATGTCATATTGATTTGCCAAATTATCGAACTTGACAATCTCTAAACCATTTTGCAATTAAAATCCATGATTATGAAAAATCCACTCACTTGAAATTCTTCTACATTTTAAAGTGTAGAATAATATTCAGCAGTGACCGTAGACCATAGAGTTCTAATCACAGAAAGAAGACTTTAGAATGTAGGTGGTAATCGTGTAAAACCTGAAAGATTAGTAACATCTGACATCAGTGACACCAAATGGTCTCATTTTTTATAGGAAAATACTTCCATTCAAACATGAAAATGAGCAACTAATAATTCAGTTCTGATGTGATATGGCACAAGAACTTTACTGGTCAGGTATTCATCTGGCTCTTACTTAGAAGCTGTGATTCTTTTTTTGTGTTTTAATAAGAAATCTGCTTTTCAAATCACAGGTCTCCCAATTCTGGGTGTCAGTCACAGAATGGCCCCAGGGTACAGTTTCTGCAGACCAGCCATTGCATTCTGCTGGTATGTTTCCAATCCCAGGCTGTGAACTGCATCTGTGCATAGGCATAAACATGGAGGAGTGAGATTAAAATTTAGCAGCATGCTTAAGAAGCCAAAATAGAGCAAATTAATGTACCCAGGACGAGCAGAATCTGCTACACTGCACCAAAGGAAAGAAAGGGAGGATGGAAGGGCTGGGGTTTGTTTGCAACACTGGCTCCATGGTGCTGAACCCAAGAGCTTTGGCAGTCAGTCAGTCTCTCAGTCCAACTGCAGCGTACTCCCTCTTCCCTTCCAGCCATTAGCAACCTCCCCTCTGGATACACAAACTTTTAAGTCCTTCCAGGGCAGTTCAAGTCAAGGCACATGCCCCTGGCAGCTGTTTCATTCCAAGACCCAGGCTACAAAGAAAACGGAGACTCCCTTTTGACAAGGAGTCTCATGGCCAGGTTGGACACAGGGGCTTGGAGCAACCTGCTCTAGTGGAAGGTGTCCCTGCCCGTGGCAGGGGGTTGGAAATGGATGAGCTTTAAGCTCCCTTCCAACCCAAACCAGTGAAAGGATGAGGGGTGATGGGCACAAGGTACTACTGGGGACATTCCAACTGGACGCAAGAGGAAAATTTTCCCCCATGAGAACGATCAGCCACTGGAATAATCTCCCCAGGGAAGTGGTGGATTCCCAACATCTGACTCTTTTAAGATACAGCTGGACACGATGCTGGGACATCTAGTTTGGGTCATGCTTTCCCAGAAAGGGTGGAGCAGATGATCCTTGAGATCCCTTCCAACCTGGGATGCAATGATACCACAGTTCTATCAAGATGTTACCACATCACCACTGCAGTGCTTGCCTCTCCCTGGCCTCCCCAGCTCTTCTCAGGAAGAAGAGCTGTAAGATGAATGCGAGGGCAGCAGAACCTACACAAAAGCTGCACCACTGACTGTAACAGGAGGGATAAAGCCTTGCCAGTTTTCTCTCTCACCTATGTTACTACCAGCACATTGCTCAGCCACCAATTTAGTCCTATTAAAATAAAATAAATAAAAGAAACTTCTGATAACTCTTATTCATACCGAGTTCATCCAAGATCACACACACGTGCAAACGGCTCCTTAGGGAACCAGCTCGGCTCCAGCAGGGTTCTGCAGTGAAATCACAGAACACAGAGAGGTGTTTGTGAAGCCCTGAGGGCAGCGAGTGAGTTTTGTGCTGCACAGAGCCCTGCTGGTGAGCCCACACGACTCCAGCTGACCCATCCACCACAACCACCTGGACACCTCGGTCTCACCTTCCTGAAACAGGGAGCAGCACAGAGTGAAATGCACACACTGGCAGGTTGATGCTCCCTCAGCTCTGGCCTCAGGCCAGCCCTGCTGGAGCCAAGATGACTCCTGCAGAATCACAAGAGGGTCTGCCTTATGCTCTCCAACATTTCAGTTTCCTAGAAAATGTATTAGCTTGAGCACAGCACTGTCTGAATGCTCAGAGCCAGTTCAGGATCAGCCATCCCAGATCCTTAAGCATTGAGGGGCACGTGCCAGAAATCAGCTGAGCAGCACCAGGGGTAACACTGAACTCACTGTATATAAAACCCAAATTTGCTGTTCTGGATAGTAACAAGCATCTTCACCATCAAATATTTTTGTAACTGCAAGGCAGATTTGCAATTCAAGAGTAAGGGAAAAGAAAAGCCTCCAAACTACTTGATTTATTTTACCAGCACTTACTGATCTGCTTTAGGAAGCTCATTGAATATCTTTTGCATGAGTTCCATCCGCTGAAATCTTTCCAAATATATTCCATGCTGTAGAGTGTCTAGTTCAAGAAACCCTCTTCCTGTCATCTTGAAGTCCTGGATCATAAAGAACAAACAAATGGAATCAAAGTTGCACAGCCCCAGTCTGTATCCAATAAACAATTTGGACTCTTTTGCCACAAAAATGCAGAAGAACAAAGAATAAAAATCCATACTTTGTAAAGATTTAAGGAAATCATGAAGCTATCTTCTGATTTTATATTCCACAAATAAGGCCTTTTTTTCTCTCATTTAGCCAGAGACATATATCAAGTCAGAAACCATACAGATGTACTGGGTTTGTGTGGTGAGGTTTTGGTAGTGAGGGTGGCTTCTATGAGAAGCTACTGGAATCTTCCCCCATGTCCAACAGAGCCAATGCAGCTGGATCCAAGATGGACCCACTGCTGGACAAGGCTGAGCTCACCAGCAATGCTGGTAGCACCTCTGAGAGAACATAATTAAGAAGGGAAAAAACCTGCTGCACAACAACAGCCAGAGAGAAGGGTGAGAATATGTGAGAGCACCACCTCTGCAGGCACCACGGTCAGTGCAGAAGGAGGCAGGAGGTGCTCCAGGCACCAGAGCAGAGGTTCCCCTGCAGCCCATGGGAAGGACTCACACTGGAGAAGTTCATGGAGGACTGGAAGAAGCGGCAGAGACAATGTGTGATGAACTGACCACAACCCCCATTCCCTGTCCCCCCGCACTACTCAGGAGAAGGAGGTAGAGAATTTGGGAGTAAAGTTAAGCCCGGGAAGAAAGGAGGGGCGGGGGGAAGGTGTTTTTAAGCTTTGATTTTACTTCTCATTACCCCTCTCTGATTTGATTGGTAATAGATTAATTTCCCCAAGTTGAGCCTGCTTTGTCTGCAGTGATAACTGCTGCATAATCTCCCTGTCCTTATCTCCACCCATGAGCTTTTAACCTTACTTTCTCCTGACGGATGGGGAGCAGGAGAGCACCTTGGTGGGTACCTAGCTGAAGTGAACCCACCACAGCAGCTTTAGATTAAACCTCATCCTTAGTGATTCAAACACTTTCTCTAGATGTTTTTTTTCCCCAGACTTACTTTACTACACCTTAAGTTTCCTTTATGGTTTGAAGGCTGTGTCCTGAGGCCGATCCATAGGATGATGCTCGCTTCAATTTGGGCTTGGCGGGATGCTGGAGCAGGGGAAATACCCCGTCCTGAGGCCTCTCTCCGCACTGTTTAAGCGGAGGCTCTCCAGACCTGCCCTTTAGGTAAA